TTTTCTTTTCTCTTCAGTATAGAACGTGATCGAAGAATTTTATCGATTTACGATAATCGTGATAAAATCGATCCCTTGTTTTTATAATCTTTTTATTAGATGAATGTCAAATAGTCGAAATAATGCCAATGAAATCAATGTACAAAGAAAGATCGATGAATGTGTGTTATTTATTTAAATGTTCTCTGCAAATATGTTTTGAGAAGGAATTGTGACTATCGCAAACAATTTTATCATCAAAGCTTCACCCCTCACTTCGACGAATCGATCGATTCTGTAAAATTCTCTTCTAATATAATGAAGAACTCAAAGATTAAATAGATTTTATTTTTCTACATTGATATTTTCTCACGTTCACTTTCATCAACATGATTTACACGATTAAAATGAACTTCTCAATTTCTTTTCTTTATTCAAATTTCGACAAAGTTTGAAAATTCCTTTTCCATGTGTGTTGATAGATTTCATATTGTTCAATCATATCGATTAGTCGTTGACCAGAGAAGTAATTCATCATTGATAATATTCATTTTCTGTGAGATTAATAAAAGAAAATCTTCCATATGAATGATCATATTCAATGTGAAATTTTGAAGGTGATTTATTTAGAAAACAAGATGATATATTTGTCGATTATATTCCAATTGATCCATATGTACAACATGAACAAATATCAAATTCAAACATTGCATTATACCTGAATCATTCTGCTTGTTTTTATAATGAAGAAAAGACTTTCTTCCTCCGTTTTTTTGACGTTGATTAGATAAAAGCATTCTAATTCATTTGGAGTTATCTCTCATATTAAATAGTGAAGTTCGTTGTGAGTAATAAAATGAATCATATGTGTCATTCAAAACAACACGTACGATCACGCTAATTCACATTCACACCTTTAGAATGATTACTGATTCTTAGAATTGAGAAAAGAATAAAGACTCATAGTTTATTTGTTATAGAGGAAAAAGATTGTTTTTGTGATTGTTGATTATTTTCACACCATTCTCCATCGTTATTCAATTTTCCATAAATGTTGGTTGATTGATTTTTGTATAAACCATTGATCCAATCTTGAACAATCAAAGGTGAATCGATCATTGTATTTATTTCCTAAACTTTTCAAATAAATTTCAAATGAAATTCTTATTTGAAATACCTGTGAATGAAACCAAGAGAAACTGTCCATATTTGCGTTACCCATAATGGCAACTTGATCATCAATCGACATAAATTTAATATGACAATTTCGTTTCTTTTGTGAAAAATGAATTGAATTCATTTGATCTTCAAAGAACAAGATTTTCCTTTTAAAATAAATAAGAATTTAAATCTTACCTTTGGCTACATACCAAAACACTTCGAGATTATTTTCGATTCCATTTTGAATTTTCTTCAATTTTTTATATAACTTTTTTACAACTTGTTTATTTGTTCCACCTTGAAATGTTCCTCGACCTTCTTTCAAATCATTGAATCCCCATCCAAGCCACAATGTTACTTTAATTCCTCTTCGACAAGCATCAATAATTCCTTCGATCGCTGGCGAAGCATTGAATGTTGGTGTTTGAATGAAAATCGATTTTTCCGCAAATTTAAAGGCACTTATCCACGCAGTATTTTGTGGATTTGTTTTATTCCTATGCATCGGTGTACCATGAGGTGAACGATTGACCAATACAATTGGAAATGGCTGATGTGAACGGTGAAAAATAAACGGAGTAAATTCGGATGTTAATTTTTCGATTTGTTCATTCGAAAATTTTTTATGAAATGAAGTTGAAGATTTGATGAAGATATTGGACAATTTTGAAGATTGATGAAAATCGAATATTCGGTCGACAAGTGATGAAGAATTTTGTTTGTTATTTGTTGGATTGATATGATCAAATGGAAATCTTTGCAAAGGAATTTCATTTTCCAGATATTCAAAGCGTGATTGTTCAATCAGAGGATTGTCATTTAAACAAACAAGATTTGGTTGAAAAGGAATCGACCATGAGATCAAAAATGTATCGTAAAATGAATTAACGATCTCTCCTTCATATTGTGACATCATTTCGAGATTTGGACGATCTTGAATATTATTACTATTTAAAAGTACAACTCTTCGATCGACTATGAGAAATTTCGAATGAAATGTTCCCATAATGAAATGATGATAATTATGAACTTCAAGAGATATATTGGGAATTTCATCTGGAGTTGGAAGATTGTAATCAGACCATTTAGTTGGATGAAGAATTGAATGATATTGAACACTATTTATGATATTTGGATGATCGATCATCAATTTGATAATCACATGACGATGTTCGGCATTCGCCCGTTTGTCTAAATCTTGAAAAGCGCGACGAATGACATTCGCACTTTCACTTCTTTCCCAATACATTGTTGCGAAGAGAATCTCTTTCTGAGCATTGACGATAACTTGATAATAATGACGCATTATATCAGGGATAGTAGAAATTATTGTCAAAGGAATGATTCCTGATGAACCGATTAATGATGGAGAGACACGACCACCTAATGGATCGTATTCAAGAGTGCGAATCACATTGTAAAAGATCTTAAAATTAGAACGAAAAAGTGACTTTTCCAAGAAAGTAGTGAGTGAATTTACCTTGAGAAAAAGGTTACTGGGACGGTAAGGAAAACGGCCGAATTCAGCGGCAATATCCAATTCTTTTTTTGTTATTATTTCAAAAGGATCAAGTTTGGATTTGAATTTATATTGTAAACGATGACAAAATCCATTCGAAAAATGAGATTTGATGACATCAGATGGACTTTTTATCAATGGATATCCATTTGTATATAAAGATGTAACAGTCGAAGTTGGAATATTATCGATTGGTGATCGATCTTCTCCGTGATGATCATTCATCTCCATTACAAATAGTTGGGTGTGTGGAAAAAGTACACTTTTTATATACGCGTGTTTTACTTCCTATGGGAGGCAATTACCAATTTACATGTATCTACTCAACGTATTAGTGTGTGAGTAACGAAAATATTATCATGGGCGTATTTTGGTATGCATGAAATTATTTTCGAGACAAATATCTTAAAAGTGCGCTCGTCCTGTTCGTTGACTGTTTGATTGACACAGAATTTGGTTTTTTCCAGGTTTCATTACGGAAAAGACAAAACGCTTTTTTTCGTGAATTCTTGAGAAACACACAAGATATACTTCGATAAATCAAAATCCTTGATGACTCAAATTCTGTTTTTGAGAAAGATAACAACGTAATTGCATCAACATGTGAAATTCTCGATTCTCGTCAAATATAAAAGTATCTTACATTGTCACAATAAATCACAATGAATATGAATGAAAAGAAACGATCGCGAGATCCAACAGCGAATGACTACGATGATGAAAGTAATCCAACGAAGAAGTTTTCGGTAATTAGTTCTTTCGAACAACTTTCAAATGAAATTATTTACGAAATATTAACTCATCTTGATGCTTATGAGATTTATCAAAGTTTTTTCGATATCAACATACGATTTCGAAATCTCTGTAATCATTCCGATCTGACTGTTCAAATCGATACTCAATTCGAATCAAAATCCAAATTTCAATCCTATTACAATGATTTCATCACATCCAATAAACATCACGTTCAATCGTTACGTCTATTTGATCCATTGATAGTCGATTTCTTTGCATTGTCACCGTCAACTATTTCGCAATGCATTGATTTGCGTCAACTAATTTTATGTGAAATACAAAATGAATTTCTTGAAAGTGTTCTTCTCGATATCGTTTCATTGCCTAAATTATCGTCTTTATCCATTCACGTGGGTTGTGGTGCGAATAAACCAAACATCTATGAGAGTCTATTTCGTCTACCCGTATTAAAATCTTGTAAAATCAACTTTAGAGAGAAAAATCCTATAGAATTATTACCAATGTCCTCGAACTTAGTCAGTCCTATTGAAGATCTTGTCATTTATGATCACTATAATTTACCTGACATCGATATTATTTTATCGTATGTGCCCAAATTACATCGTTTATCTGTTGCATATCAATGTAATACAAATATTCATCCATTTCAATCTGTATTCGCTGTTTTATTCAACAATGAAACTCATATTTCTCTCATCGGAACCGAGTTTTCATATTTAAATCTTGATAAATTTATAAAAAATCACGTTTCTCATATTAAGATACTACAGATTTCAACTAGTTATCGAAATGCATATCCATCAATAGAACGATTCATTCAACCATATTTTTCACATTTGAAGACTTGGGATTTTAATACCGCATTACCTCTCGATTGTGTTCATACAATGAAACTATATCAGAATATGTTTGAGTCTTATCCACAAATACCATTATACATACGACAATTGTTCTTTACTCAAACACCAATGTCAGACGAATATCTGCATAAAATGTTCAGCTCCATTCGACCGTACAGGTAGAAAAATCATTGTTTCATGCGAATCTTAATTTGTGCTATTTGTTGTTTTTTCTTCAGTAGTAACTCGATATACTTAATTCATCGATCGTGTATGAATTTCCAATGTCATAACGAAACTGATCTTTATTCCATTGAACATCTGATCATTCCCGAACGGCTTGGATCATGTCAATGTATTTCACACTTTCCAAACGTTAAGAAATTAACTCTCTATGAACCGTGTTTCAAAACAAATTTGAGTTCAATGATTTCTTTAACACAACTGACTAGTCTAAGTTTTTACACTTCAATGAAGACAATTGATGTCATTATTGAAATACTATGCCTTACCCCAAATGTTCAGACGGTCACATTAACATTGACAACAATGCGCGCAAAAAGTTTACCTGCTCTGAGAGAATCTCTGACATCTCAACATGAAGCCAATTTCAATCAAATAAAAAGTCTTACTTTTAAATTGAATTATACAATGGTATTGATCCAGTTTTTTATGAAGCTTTGTCCTCAATTGCGCCATCTTCGTTTTGGTACATATCTAAGTTCTCTCGAACCAACATTGCGATATCTGTTAACAGAAACGACGGAAAAGCATTTTTCAATCCATGTATCTTCTGTCAGTGCTAAACGGAGTGAAATATTACGAGCTCTGATTGAATCACAAGAATTGTCAAGAGACTATTTAATAAAAATTATCAATGATAAGTTTTATTTCAGATGGTGGGATTGAAAGCTTTTCAACTATGATGATCATTGGAACAACTCTCGGATGAACTTACAATTTTTGCAAGACAGTCGATGTGTTTAATTGTCTTTGAGAATGAGATTTTTTTTGCCTTAGAACTCCTCGATTTTGTGAGAGCGAGTGATGTTATCGTTGAGGTAAGCAATGTGTTTTAATAAAGATTTTTAAATACAAAACATAAAAAGCATCAAGTAGAGCATTGAATATTTGAGTAGAATCGTTGTTGAATGTGAAAGCACGGGTGTACTTGTGATCATGACAGATGATTCTGAAGAGAAAAAAAAAGAAATCCAATCAAGAAGATAACGATACATTTAGCATACATACCACATGATTTTTTAAAAAAACTGAATTTTTGTATTCGATGATTATCTGTATCAACAACATAAATATTTCCATAACTATCAAAGGCCATATGCCGTGGTCCTTTCAATTTATGCGGCTCGGAACCCGGAGTCACACATCCAAGTATACATCGAAAACTATTTCCCTTTCCTCGAACAATACGATTGTTAAAACTATCAGCAATATATAAATAACCATCACCATCGAGAGTAATTCCAGTTGGATGATTCAGACCAGTGGTGATCTTCTCTGATGTACTTCCTGCAACAGTTATTCCATGCAACTGTCCTTGTTTAAACATTTGAATACGATGATTATTCGTNATATTTGGATGATCGATCATCAATTTGATAATCACATGACGATGTTCGGCATTCGCCCGTTTGTCTAAATCTTGAAAAGCGCGACGAATGACATTCGCACTTTCACTTCTTTCCCAATACATTGTTGCGAAGAGAATCTCTTTCTGAGCATTGACGATAACTTGATAATAATGACGCATTATATCAGGGATAGTAGAAATTATTGTCAAAGGAATTATTCCTGATGAACCGATTAATGATGGAGAGACACGACCACCTAATGGATCGTATTCAAGAGTGCGAATCACATTGTAAAAAATCTCAAAATTAGAAAGAAAAATTTGCTTTTCAAAATAATGAGTAAATTTACCTTGAGAAAAAGGTTACTTGGACGGTAAGGAAATCGACTAAATTCAGCGGCAATATCCAATTCTTTTTTACTTATTAATTCAAAAGGATCAAGTTTGGATTTGAATTTATATTGTAAACGATGACAAAATCCATTCGAAAAATGAGATTTGATGACATCAGATGGACTTTTTATGAATGGATATCCATTTGTATATAAAGATGTAACAGTCGAAGTTGGAATATTATCGATTGGTGATCGATCTTCTTCATGATGATCATTCATCTCCATTACGAATAGTTGGGTGTGTGGAAAAAGTACACTTTTTATATACGCGTATTTTACTTCCTGTAGGAGGCAATTACCAATTTACATGTATCTATTCAACGTATCAGTGTGTGAGTAACGAAAATATTATCATGGGCGTAGTTTGGTATGAATGAAATTATTTTCAACACAAATATCTTAAAAGTGCGCTCGTCCTGTTCGTTGACTGTTTGATGGAAAACAGAATTTGGTTTTTTCCAGGTTTCATTACGGAAAAGACAAAACGCTTTTTTTTGTGAATTCTTGAGAAACACACAAAATATACTTCGATACATCAAAATCCTTGATGACTCAAATTCTGTTTTTGAGAAAGATAACAATGTAATTGCATCAACATGTGAAATTCTCGATTCTCGTCAAGTATAAAAATATCTTTTATTGTCACAATAAATCACAATGAATATGAATGAAAAGAAACGATCGCGAGATCCAACAGCGAATGACTATGATGATGAAAGTAATGCAACGAAGAAGTTTTCGGTAATTAGTTCTTTCGAACAACTTTCAAATGAAATTATTTACGAAATATTAACTCATCTTGATGCTTATGAGATTTATCGAAGTTTTTTCGATATCAACATACGATTTCGAAATCTCTGTAATCATTCCGATCTGACTATTCAAATCGATACTCAATTCGAATCAAAATCCAAATTTCAATCCTATTACGATGATTTCATCATACCCAATAAACATCACGTTCAATCATTACGTTTATTTGATCCATTGATAGTCGATTTCTTTGCATTGTTACCGTCAACTATTTCACAATGCATTGATTTGCGTCAACTAATTTTATGTGAAATACAAAATGAATTTCTTGAAAGTGTTCTTCTCGATATCGTTTCATTGCCTAAATTGTCGTCTTTATCCATTCACGTGGGTTGTGGTGCGAATAAACCAAACATCTATGAAAGTTTATTTCGTCTACCTGTATTAAAATCTTGTAAAATCAACTTTAGAGAGAAAGGTCCTATCAAATTATTACCAATATCCTCGAACTTAGTCAGTCCTATTGAAGATCTTGTCATTTATGATCACTATGATTTACCTGACATCGATGTTATTTTATCGTATGTACCCAAATTACATCGTTTATCTGTTGCATATCAATCTAATGCAAATCTTCAACCATTTCAATCTGTATTTGCTGTTTTATTCAACAATGAAACTCACATTTCTGTCATCGGAACCGAGTTTTCATATCTAAATCTTGATAAATTTATAAAAAATCACGTTTCTCATATTAAGATACTACAGATTTCAATTAGTTATCGAAATGCATATTCATCAATCGAACGATTCATTCAACCATATTTTTCATATTTGAAGACTTGGGATTTTAATACCGCATTACCTCCCGATTGTGTTCATACAATGAAATTATATCAGAATATGTTTGAGTCTTATCCACAAATACCATTAAACATACGACAATTGTTCTTTACTCATGAACCAATGTCAGATGAATATCTGCATAAAATGTTCGGTTCTATTCGACCGTACAGGTAGAAAAATCATTGTTTCATGAATCTTAATTTGTACTATTTGTTGTTTTTTTCTTCAGTAGTAACTCGATATACTTAATTCATGAATCGTGTATGAATTTCCAATGTTATAACGAAACTGATCTTTATTCCATTGAACATCTGATCGTTCCCGGACAGATTAGACCGTGTCAATGTATTCCACACTTTCCAAACGTTAAGAAATTAACTCTCTATGAATCGTGTTTCAAAACAAATTTAAGTTCAATGATTTCTTTAACACAACTGACCAGTCTAAGTTTTTACACTTCAATGAAGACAATTGATGTCATTATTGAAATACTATGCCTTACCCCAAATGTTCAGACGGTCACATTAACATTGACAACAATGCGCGCAAAGAGTTTACCTGCTTTGAGAGAATCTCTGATATCTCAACATGAAGCCAATTTCAATCAAATAAAAAGTTTTACTTTTAAATTGAATTATACAATGGTATTGATCCAATTTTTTATGAAGCTTTGTCCTCAATTGCAACATCTTGGTTTGGGTACATATCTAAATTCTCTTCAACCAACATTGCGATATTTGTTAACAGAAACGATGGAAAAGCATTTTTCAATCCATGTATCTTCTATCAGTACTAAATGGAGTGAAATATTACGAGCTCTGATCGAATCACAAGAATTGTCAAGAGACTATTTAATAAAAATTATCAATGATAAGTTTTATTTCAGATGGTGGAATTGAAAGCTTTTCAACTATGATGATCACTGGAAGAAATTGTTCGTAACAAATATTGGAACAACTCTCGGATGAACTTACAATTTTTGCAAGACAGTCGATGTGTTTGTTTTTGAGAATGAGATTCTTTATGCCTTAGAACTCCTCGATTTTGTGAGAGCGAGTGATGTTATCGTTGAGGCAAGCAATGTGTTTTAATAAAGATTTTTAAATACAAAACATAAAAAGCATCAAGTAGAACATTGAATATTTGAGTAGAATCGTTGTTGAATGTGAAAGCATGGGTGTACTTGTGATCATGACAGATGATTCTGAAGAGAAAAAAAAAGAAATCAAACCAAGAAGATAACGATACATTTGTCATACATACCACATGATTTTTTCAAAAAACTGAATTTTTGTATTCGATGATTATCTGTATCAACAACATAAATATTTCCATAACTATCAAAAGCCATCTGCCGTGGTCCTTTCAATTTATGCGGATCGGAACCCGGAGCCACACATCCAAGTATACATCGAAAAGTATTTCCCTTTCCTCGAACAATACGATTGTTAAAACTATCAACAATATATAAATAACCATTGTCATCGAGAGTAATTCCAGTTGGATGATTCAGACCAGTGGTGATCTTCTCTGATGTACTTCCTGCAACAGTTATTCCATGCAACTGTCCTTGTTTAAACATTTGAATACGATGATTATTCGTATCAGCTACATATAAATCCAAATTAGTACCAACAAATATCCCAGATGGAGAATCCAACACATCGAAAGTTGAACCACGTTGTCCATTTCCAGCTACAATGATAACTCTTGTATCATTATCATCTAACGATTTTTTCGCAACTAAATGGTATTTATTCACTAAACAGTATATATTGTTATTTATATCAATGAAAAGACCCCAACATAGTCCATACGTATTCATGATGAAAACACTGATATTTGCATCTAATATAAATTTTTCCACAAAATATTGTCTATTATTGCCACTACTTTTATCGATATAGATTTCATTATTATTCAGCACAAAAAGTGACTTTGAAGATATTAATTTATCTGATACTGTTATAGTTGGTACAGTAAAATCATTTGACCAAATGTGTATTCGTGATGTTGATTGATCAACAACGTAAATTGAATTATTAGTTGTAATAAATATGAAATATGGCGTTCCATTAATGACATCCTTGGACACAAAAGTAGTTGCAAATGAATTCCAAGTTGCGCTTGGGCAGAGTTTTGGTTGATTGAACGAAAGATCTAGAAGGGGAAATTTTCTCAAGATTATTGTTGACACAAAGAACAAGGCCAATTAACAACAACACAACCTACTCATCGAAACTGCTTGTAGTTCTATACTATTTCCTTCATTAAGTAATTACTATAAACTACAGATATTTTACATACTTCGCGATGTTGCGATTGAAGATATATTTGAAGTAATTTGACCTGCGAATGTAAAGTGTTAGTAAATTATTATTTCTCATGTTTTCATACTTACTACACGACGATTTTGAAAAGGTGAATTTCTGAATTCGAACATAAGCCGTATCAAAAGTGTAAATGTTTCCATAACTATCAAAAGCCATATGATATGGATGTGTTAATGCGTTAGTAAAGGAATTCGACTTGATACATCCAAGTATACACTGAAAACCATGTGGACCTCCTCGAACTATACGATTGCTCTTAACATCACTGATATATAAATAACCATCACCATCGAGAGTGATTCCAGTTGGTTCTCGAAGAGTAACTGTAATATTGTTAGAGGTACTTCCTGCAACGGTAATTGCATGCGACTGGCCTTGTTCAAACATCTGGATACGATTATTATATGTATCAGCTACATATAAATCAAAGTTAGTGTCTACAAATATTCCGCTTGGAGAATTCAATGCATCCGACGTTGAGTCAGGATGATTAGTTCCAGCGACAACAATCGGTGTTAACAGATCATCGTCCAACCATTTCTTCACAACTTGATTGTAGCTATTAAGTGAACAGTATATATAGTTATTGAGGTCGATGAAAAGGCCATGACATGATGATGGAACATTCATAATCGGAACGCTCATATTTGTCTCCAGTATCCATCGTTCAACTGTCTGATTCAATTGTCCTCTATCAATATAAATTTCATTTTCGTTTCGAACAAAAATTGATTCTGGTCGTAGAGAATTGATTACAATTATAATAGGCGAATGAATAGCGTGACTCCGCCAGATATAAATGTGAAAGGATGAGCGACTTAGAACATAAACTGAATTATTGGCGGTGACAAATATGTAAGATGGTAATGTACGTATGCTTGCAAAAGTTGTTCCAAATGAAGTCCAACCTGCTGTTGCACAGAATTTGGGTCGATTAAATGAAAGATCTAAAGAAAATTTGACCGGAATCCTTTGTGACACAGAAAATAAACATTATTTGACGAGAAATGAAATGATGTTAACTTAAACTGCTGCGTTTCTTATTCTTTTTCATCTAATCGGAAGAATAAATGAGTATCTGACATTTTCATCCTATGAAAATTAAGTATTGTGAANTATCGATATAGATTTCATTATTATTCAGCACAAAAAGTGACTTTGAAGATATTAATTTATCTGATACTGTTATAGTTGGTACAGTCAAATCATTTGACCAAATGTGTATTCGTGATGTTGATTGATCAACAACGTAAATTGAATTATTAGTTGTAATAAATATGAAATATGGCGTTCCATTAATGGCATCCTTGGACACAAAAGTAGTTGCAAATGAATTCCAAGTTGCACTTGGGCAGAGTTTTGGTTGATTGAACGAAAGATCTAGGAGGGGAAGGTTTCTCAAGATTATTGTTGACACAAAGAACAAGGCCAATTAACAACAACACAACCTACTCATCGAAACTGCTTGTATTTCTACTATTTCCTTCATTGAGTAATTACTATAAACTATAGATATTTTACATACTTCGCGATGTTGTGATTGAAGATATATTTGAAGTAATTTGATCTGAGAATGTAAAGTATTAGTAAATTATTATTTCTCATGCTTTCATACTTACTACACGACGATTTTGAAAAGGTGAATTTCTGAATTCGAGCATAAGCCGTATCAATAGTGTAAATGTTTCCATGACTATCAAAAGCCATACGAGATGGATGTGTTAATTTACTAGCTTGAGAATTCGACTTGATACATCCAAGTATACACTGAAAACCATGTGGACCTCCTCGAACTATACGATCGTTCTCATCATCACTGATATATAAATAACCATCGCCATCGAGAGTGATTCCGGTTGGTTCATTAAGAGTAATTGTGGTGTTCTTTGAAGTACTTCCTGCAACGGTAATTGCATGCAACTGTCCTTGTTCAAACATCTGGATACGATTATTATATGTATCAGCTACATATAAATCAAAGTTAGTGTCTACAAATATTCCGCTTGGAGAATTCAATGCATTCGACGTTGATTCAGGATGATTCGTTCCAGCGACAACAATCGGCGTTAACAAATCGTCGTCCAACCATTTCTTCACAACTTGATTGTAGTCTTTAAGTGAACAGTATATATAGTTATTGAGGTCGATGAAAAGGCCGTGACATGATGATGGAACATTCATAATCGGAACGCTCATATTTGTCTCCAGTATCCATCGTTCAACTGTATGATTTGAATTACCTTTATCAATATAAATTTCATTTTCGTTTCGAACAAAAATTGAATTTGGTCTTAGATAATCGATTACAATTATTATAGGCGAATGAATAGCGTGACTCCGCCAGATATAAATGTGAGAGGATGAAGGACTTAGAACATAAACTGAATTATTGGCTGTGACAAATATGTAAGATGGTAATGTGCGTATGCTTGCAAAAGTTGTTCCAAACGAAGTCCAAGCTGCTGTTGCACAGAATTTGGGTCGATTAAATGAAAGATCTAAAGAAAATTCGACCGGAATCCTTTGTGACACAGAAAATAAACAGTATTTGACGAGAAATGAAATGATGTTAACTTAAACTGCTGCGTTTCTTATTCTTTTTCATCTAATCGGAAGAATAAATGAGTATCTGACATTTTCATCCTATGAAAATTAAGTATTGTGAATAAACTTTACGTACGTCTTGATGTTACGTTTGAAGTGATTCGATCTTAAAGTAGAAAGTGTTAGTAAATGATCATTTTCGCCTGATTTATACTTACTACACGATCTATTATAGTAAGTAAATTTGAGAATTTGATGACTCATTTCATCACTAACATAAATATTCCCACGATTATCGAAAGCCAGATTACGTGGTCTCATTAAACGGTTGTTTGCGTAACCAGTACTAAAGCACCCAAGTATACATCGAAAACGATTTCCTTTTCCTCGAACAATACGAGCATCATGACGATCAACAATATATAAATAACCATCACCATCGAGGGTGACTCCAGTTGGTTCTTGAAGAGTAACTGTAATATTGTTAGAGGTACTTCCAGCAACAGTTGTTCCATGTAACTGTTCTCGTCCATACATTTGAATACGATGATTATTCTTATCAGCTACATATAAATTTAAATTAACGTCAACAAATATTCCATTTGGAGAATTCAATGCATCCGAAGTTGAATCAGGATGATCAATTCCAGCAACAATAATCGGTGTTAAAGAGTCACCATCCAACCATTTCTTTACAACTTGATTCTGATTACTCAGTGAACAGTATAAATTGTTATTTATATCAATGAAAAGTCCATAACATGATGATGGAACATTCATTACTGAAACACTCGTATTTTTTTCCAGTATCCATCGTTCAACTGTATGATTTGAACTACCTTTATCAATATAAATTTCATTTTCATTTTGAACAAAAATTTATTGTGGATTTTGTAAGTTGTCTGTTATGATTATAGTTGGATGAGTAGAATGGTTCAACCAGATATACATGAAAGATCCTTGTTTACTTACAAGGTAAATTGAATTATTGGATGTAATAAATATATAAGATGGGGGAGCAGTAAGTATGTTTTTTCTTGAAAAAATGGTACCATTGTTATTCCAAATTGCATCTGGACAAAATTTTGGTTGATTGAATGTAAGACCTATGAAAAATTTTCAAAATTGTCGTTTTCATGATCTGTAACGAAACAAAATGAAGTTTTTACCGTGTTCAAGGATCGATAAGATAAAATAGAATAGAATTAAAATCATTCTTTTCGAAAATTTTTGTGTATAATTCAGCTGGTACAATGAATGGATAATGAATTTCACTTTAATTTTTATAGAGAAAAGTACAAGATGAGTAATCTACAGAGAGAGAGAAAAAAAGAGGAAATTCATGTTTAAAACGTTATTCCGTTGAAATCTACATGTATTCAAATGTTTTCCATCTCTTTCTCTTGAAAGTTACTTTCCCATTGGATAGAAATGCTTCTCAGTTGGTAATATGACGTAAAATCTTATCGAATTTTACACTAGTTCACCTTGCATTTGGATTAGATTTTCTTCAGGTTTGTTATTAACATTGCGCTTCAGAAGAGCTCTCTCAACTAACAACGCCATTAGAACATCTGTTAACTTATTATTGTGCATGACATTCTCCTACCTTTGCAGTGTTAATTTAAAACGCTTTGAACACGTCAACAGAAAGAAGAAAATCTGTTGATATATTTGAACAAAATTTCACATAATGATTATGATTTTTCTTCAGTTTATTATTGAAAACATAATGTTTTCGTCTTTGATATATCTTCTCCTTGTACATTCAATCGTTACTCTACCTCATTTGTACTTATTTAATACAGATGAGGAAAATAACAATCGTACGAATATATCACAATATCATTGTTTTCATCTTCCTACCGAGGAAAAAGTATCGCTTTCAACATTTGAATTTATTTCTTATTGTCTCAATGAACAATCACCGAAATTTGATATTCAACCAACGAGTTTTTATTCCAATTACACATTTGCTGAACTTTCGAAGAGAAATATAACTGATGAAGATCTGTATTCTTGGTTTGCATCAATTGATCTCATCGAACGTTATCAATCGTATCTTTACAAATCATCGATATTCGATGGAAAAGAAATCTTTTATAATTGTACCGAAGAAAGATTTGGTCCAATGTGTCAATACGAACTGAAAAATGTAGAATCAATAGTTGATCTGANCCAAGTATTTTCATTGAAGATGCAAAATGTCGTGAACACGTGTTGACAAGTTCTTGTCTTTCTGGTCGACAAGAACGAATATTTCAAGAAATGTTCTCGATTAATGACGAATACGCATCGGATGATTGTCGGTCAGCAGCCAAGTGCATTCTTCCATTTCCAGATGAATTTCGTTCGATTTGTAATCACTTTTGCAATAGAACTCGATGTTTGAATATAATTATGAACGAATGTCCACCGATGTTTAACTTACCGGTCGTTCCAATTCTTCTCGGGAACGTGTATTTTGCTTTTGAAAAAACTGATTTTAACAAGGCAAACAGCACACATTTCGAACAACCATATGTCTGTTACAACAATTCTCTTTATGATCGTTATTTTCACAGTGATTCAACCGTGTTCTTTTATGGAAGAAAATGTTTCCGTATATCCGTTCTAAATCGAACTTTTTCGACAACGAACAATAATACTCTTGACCTGAAATATCTGCAACGGATCTACGATCAATTACAATCAAACAATCAACAGACATATATCAAGTCGATGGAAATTTATCCTACATTTCATTGTTCTGCTGATCAGCAAATATCAATTGCGGATGGTCCATTTCCTCATGATGGTGAATATATGTATTATTTATGTAGTCAAGATATAAATCATAGTCAACCAAGGAAAGAACGTATTCCGTTTGGATCGATTTGTGACAGACATATTAATTTATTACCGAGAGTTATTCATGGACAAGATGAAACGGATGAAACTGAATGTGATACATGGCCATGTAATAATTTACATACTCATTGTGATGGATTTTGGAATTGTTTAGATGGAGATGATGAAATTCGTTGTGACAAATCATTTGTATCAACTCGTTTGTCTATTGAATACAAATGTATTACAGTTCATACAAAGCAAATCGTATGTTTATCTCCTGATAGAGTAAATGATGGTCAAATTGATTGTCTCGGTGCTATCGATGAACCAACAATTTGTCAAAAAAACTCTTTTTATTGTACAAAAGATCATTTCGGAATATGTATCGACATCACAAATTTATGTGACAACTGGAATATTTCTTCGATTCAACGACTTTGTCCAGAATTGAATTTTCTTTCGAATAATATCAGATCGATTGCATTTCAAGAAAGTATTCAAACACATCGATGTCAATTGGTAAGAAATTCCTATGTACTGACATTCACAGTTTTGAATGTTGACAAATTGTATCTGCACAATTTTGGTTAAAAACATAATTTCTATGTAATTATCATTTGTAGGACAAATCAAACATGATAGCGAATCGAAGAACTGTTCCAAATGAAATACTTCGATTTGATTGTCATCGTGGATTACCTATTCGTATTTGGTTGAATAAGACAAATTCAAAACTGATCTGTTTTTGTCCACATAGTTATTACGGTAAAACGTGTGAATATCAGAATCAACGGGTAAGTTTATCTGTTAAATTTTACGCATTTTCCGATTCTCGACAAACGTCATTCGATATCATTCTGCAACTTATTGACGAGACAAATGAAAGAATCATTCATTCATATGTTCAATTGGCTTATTTGTTTGTAAGAGATTGTCAAACAAAGTTATATTATTATTTACTTTATTCAACACGAGCGAAAGATCCAAGAAAAACATATGGAATTCATATTGATATTTACGTAAAGAAATCATTGGAGTATCGTGGAAGTTTATGGTTTCCGATAACAAACAATATTTTACCTATTCATCGTTTTNATACGTCTTGATGTTACGTTTGAAGTGATTCGATCTTAAAGTAGAAAGTGTTAGTAAATGATCATTTTCGCTTGATTTATACTCACTACACGATCTATTATAGTAAGTAAATTTGAGAATTTGATGACTCATTCCATCACTAACATAAATATTCCCACTATTATCGAAAGCCAGATTACGTGGTCTCATTAAACGGTTGGTTTCGTAACCAGTACTAAAACACCCAAGTATACATCGAAAACGATTTCCTTTTCCTCGAACAATACGAGCTTCATGACGATCAACAATATATAAATAACCATCACCATCGAGGGTGACTCCAGTTGGTTCTCGAAGAGTAACTGTAATATTGTTAGAGGTACTTCCTGCAACAGTTTTTCCATGCAACTGTCCTTGTTTAAACATTTGAACACGATGATTATATGTATCAGCTACATATAAATTTAAATTAACGTCAACAAATATTCCATTTGGAGAATTCAATGCATCCGAAGTTGAATCAGGATGATCAATTCCAGCGACAATAATTGGTGTTAAAGAGTCATCATCCAACCATTTCTTCACAACTTGATTCTGATTACTCAGTGAACAGTATAGATTATTATTTATATCAATGAAAAGCCCATAACATGATGATGGAACATTCATAACTGAAACACTCGTATTTTTTTTCAGTATCCATCGTTCAACTGTATTATTTGAACTGCCTTTATCAATATAAATTTCATTTTCATTTTGAACAAAAATTGATTGTGGATTTTGTAAGTTGTCTGTTATGATTATAGTTGGATGAACAGAATAGTTCAACCAGATATAAATGAAAGATCCTTGTTCACTTACAAGGTAAATTGAATTATTCGATGTAATAAATATATAAGATGGGGGAGCAGTAAGTATGTTTTTTCCTGAAAAAATGGTACCATTGCTATTCCAAATTGCATCTGGACAAAATTTTGGTTGATTGAATGTGAGACCTATGAAAAAGTTTCAAAATTGTCGTTTTTATGATCTGTAGCGAAACAAAATGAAGTTTTTACCGTGTTCAATGATCGATACGATGAAATAGAATAGAATTAAAGTCATTCTTTTCTAAAATATTTCTGCGTAATTCAGCTGGTACAATGAATGGATAATGAATTTCGCTTTAATTTTCATAGATAAAAGTAGAAAGTGAGTAATCTACAGAGAGAGAGAGAGAAAGAGAGAGAGAGAGAGAAGAGGAAATTCATGTTAAAATCGTTATTCCGTTGAGATCTACATCTGTTCAAATGTTTGCCATCTCTTTCTCTTGAAAGTTACTTTTCCATTGGATAGAAATACTTCTCACTTGGTAATATGACGTAAAATCATATCGAGTTTCACACTAATTCACCTTGCATTTGGATTAGAATTTCTCCAAGTTTGTTATTCACATTGAACTGCGGAAGAGCTCTCTCAACTAACAACGCCATTAGAAAATCTGTTAACTTATTATTGTGCCTGACATTCGTCTACCTTTGCAGTGCCAATTTAAAACGCTTTGAACACGTCAACAGAAAGAAGAAAATCTGTTGATATATTTGAACAAAATTTCACATAATGATTATGATTTTTCTTCAGTTTATTATTGAAAACATAATGTTTTCTTCTTTGATATATCTTCTCCTTGTACATTCAATTGTTGCTCTACCTCATTTGTACTTATTTAATACAGATGAAGAAAATAACAATCGTACGAATATATCACAATATCATTGTTTTCATCTTCCTATCGAGGAAAAAGTATCTCTGTCAACATTGGAATTTATTTCTTATTGTCTCAATGAACAATCACCGAAATCTCATGTTCAACCAACGAGTTTTTATTCCAATTACACATTTGTTGAACTTTCGAAGAGAAATATAACTGATGAAGATCTGTATTCTTGGTTTGCATCAATTGATCTCGTCCAACGTTATCAATCGTATCTTTACAAATCATCGATATTCGATGGAAAAGAAATCTTTTATAATTGTACTGAAGAAAGATTTGGTCCAATGTGTCAATACGAACTGAAAAATGTAGAATCAATGGTTGATCTGATTAACTATGCAAAATCTTATTATCAAGTGACCAAACCTTTCTCAACGAGTTTAACGTGTTATATGGCAACACAATGTAATCGTGGTCTATCTTGTTTGGATTGGAGTGAAATTTGTGATGGCAAAATCGATTGTTACGACAGTTCATTTGACGAGAAACATTGTTCACAAGTAGAAATCGAAGATCCAATTTACAAATATATGGAATCTATTCTGCCAAGTATTTTCATTGAAGATGCAAAATGTCGTGAACACGTGTTGACAAGTTCTTGTCTTTCTGGTCGACAAGAACGAATATTTCAAGAAATGTTCTCGATTAATGACGAATACGCATCGGATGATTGTCGGTCAGCAGCCAAGTGCATTCTTCCATTTCCAGATGAATTTCGTTCGATTTGTAATCACTTTTGCAATAAAGCTCGATGTTTGAATATAATTATGAACGAATGTCCACCGATGTTTAACTTACCGGTCGTTCCAATTCTTCTTGGAAACGTGTATTTTGCTTTTGAAAAAACTGATTTTAACAAGACAAATAGCACACATTTCGAACAACCATATGTCTGTTACAACAATTCTCTTTATGATCGTTATTTTCACAGTGGTTCAACCGTGTTCTTTTATGGAAGAAAATGTTTCCGTATATCCGTCCTAAATCGAACTTTTTCAACAACGAACAATAATATTTTTGACGTGAAATATCTGCAACAGATCTATAATCAATTACAATCAAACAATAAACAGGCAAGTATCAAGTCGATGGAAGTTTATCCTACATTTCATTGTTCTGCTGATCAGCAAATATCAATTTACGGATGGTCCATTTCCTCATGATGGTGAATATATGTATTATTTATGTAGTCAGGATAGAAATCATAGTCAACCAAGGAAAGAACGTATTCTCTTTGAATCGATTTGTGACAGAGATATTAATTTATTACCGAGAGTGATTCATGGGCAAGACGAAACGGATGAAACTGAATGTGATACGTGGCCATGTAATAATTTACACACTCATTGTAATGGATTTTGGAATTGTTTAGATGGAGACGATGAAATTCGTTGTGACAAATCATTCGTATCAACTTGTTTGTCTAATGAATACAAATGTATTTCAGTTCATGAAAAGCAAATCGTATGTTTATCTACTGATAGGGTAAATGATGGTCAAATTGATTGTCTTGGTGCCATCGATGAACCAACAATCTGTCAAAAAAACTCTTTTTATTGTACAAAAGATCATTTCGGAATATGTATCGACATCACAAATTTATGTGACAACTGGAATATTTCTTCGATTCAAAGTCTTTGTCCAGAATTGAGTTTTCTTTCGAATAATATCAGATCGATTGCATTTCAAGAAAGTATTCAAACACATCGATGTCAATTGGTAAGAAATTCCTATGTACTAGCATTCAAAGTGTTGATAAATTGTATCTGCACAATTTTGGTTAAAAACATGTTTTCTATGCAATTATCGTTTTTAGGACAAATCGAACATAATAGTGAGTCGAAGAACTGTTCCAAATGAAATACTTCGATTTGATTGTCATCGTGGATTACCTATTCGTATTTGGTTGAATAAGACAAATTCAAAATTGATCTGTTTTTGTCCACATAGTTATTACGGTAAAACGTGTGAATATCAAAATCAACGGGTAAGTTTATCTGTTCAATTTTACGCATTTTCCGATTCTCGACAAACGTCATTCGATATCGTTCTTCAACTTATTGACGAGACAAATGAAAGAATCATTCATTCATATGTTCAATTGACTTATTTGTTTGTAAGAGATTGTCAAACAAAATTATATTATTATTTACTTTATTCAACACGAAAGAAAGATCCAAGAAAAACATATGGAATTCATATTGATATTTACGTAAAGAAATCATTGGAGTATCGTGGAAGTTTATGGTTTCCGATAACAAACAATATTTTACCTATTCATCGTTTTGATTTACTAATTAATATTCCACCAAGTGATTTTAAATCAAAGAAATGTTCACAAAATCAATGTGTTCATGGGAAATGTTTGAGATATTTCAATACTCAACGTGAGAAAACATTTTGTCAATGTTATTCCGGATGGTCTGGTCAACATTGCGATATTCTATCCACTCCTCATTTGGAATGTTCATCTGATTCGAAATATATTGGGGTTGATGCTCAGAATCATCCAATATGTGTTTGTTCTTTGCATAAGTTCGGTCGTCGATGTTTTCTTCGCGATACTCAATGTGTAAATGAAACATGTAATGATCATGGTGAATGTGTTCCATCGGATTTAAATCGGCGATTTTCACAATCTTCTATGTGTGTCTGTTCGAAGGAATTCAGTGGTGATCATTGTGAACGTGAAAATAATCGACTTGATTTATCATTTGAGAGGAATATTCAGTTTTTACACACGATATTTATACATTGGATCAAAACTGAAAAGACTCAGATATCAAATCGAGTTATCACTTTTAAAACGATTTCTTCAATGAAAGATACGACGATTATTTATTGGTCGGTGTCAGTTAATCTCATTTTAATTGAAGATCTAAAGAAAAATTATTATTTAATCGATTCTCAAACTTCTCCATATGAAAAAGTTCAAATAATTAAACAAGTAAAATCATCTGATCGTTGTCCATTTATTAATGAATTATTACCTCAAACAGTTGTTCAATCTCATTTTCTCCAACGTGTTAAATCTTATCATTCTCCATGTCAAAAATCTTTAGGAAAACTTCGATGTTTTTATGATAGTATTTATCTTTGTTTATGTTATGAACATAATGATCAACATCTGACGAATTGTCTTCCGTTTAATCAAACAATAGAAGAAAATTGTCCGGATGAAAACGAATGTTCAGATCATGGTCAATGTTTTCAACTTGGATTGGGATGTTCAAAGAAAATCACTTGTCTTTGTAAATCATGTTTTCACGGAAGACGATGTCAATTCAGTACACAAGGTTTTAGTTTATCTCTTGATAATATTCTTGGTTATCATATTCAACCATCAATTCGTTTAATCAAACAATCGACTATTATTCAAATAAGTATTTCATTAAATATTATCTTCACTTTCATAGGTTTAACAAATGGAATTTTCACTTTCATCACATTTAAAAATAAATCTTTACGTGAAGTTGGTTGTGGATTGTATTTATTAGTCTCATCAATTACTGTTTTGATTATTACGATGTTATTTGCATTGAAGTTTTGGATTTTAATTTTTGCGCAAATTTCTCAAATATCTAATCGATTGTTTTTACGAAGTCAATGCATTTCATTAGATTTTCTTCTGAGAACGTTTCTTCATCTGGATCAATGGTTAAATGCGTGTGTTGCTTGTGAACGAGCGATAACAGTGGTTCAAGGTCCTCGATTTACTAAGAAGAAAAGTCGAGAAACAGCGAAATTTGTCATTAATTTACTTTTGATTTTTAATATTTTGACATTTATTCATGAACCAATTCATCGACATTTGGTTGATGAGATTGATGAAGATGAAAATGAAAAACGAATCTGGTGTACAGTGACTTATTCATCAAAGTTACAAATTTATAATACTTGTATTCATACATTTCAATTTTTTGCTCCGTTTACGATTAATTTCATTTCGGCTTTGATTCTTATCGCACAAAAATCCAGACGACAATTAAATATTCAAATGAAAAGAAATTTTCAAGAAGTTTTACTTGAAAACTATCAAGAATATCGACATTTATTTATCGCACCTACTTGCTTAGTTATTCTCGCTTTACCACGTTTGATTATTTCGTATATATCAAAATGTATGGAGTCAATCAATGGTTCGTGGTTGTTTCTTTCGGGTTATTTCATTTCATTTATTCCAGCAATGCTTACTTTTGTTATCTTTGTTTTACCATCGAAATTTTATAAAAAAGCATTTCATAAGTCAATGATTCAATGTCGAAAAAAAATCCAACGACGTTTACATATGTGATCAACAAAACAATTGTGCTCGTTCTCGTACAAAAGAATGTCTTGCTTATATGTCCGCGCTTTACTGATTGCTTAAAAATAAACACGATCCTTTTGTACAAAACTTCGGAACGTAGCATTGAAAAACTGACAAATTCGGAAAAATGAAAATTAGAATGAGGATAAGACAAGACAAATGTAGTTTCAAGATTGCTTTTTCTGATTGTCGAAATGTATGTATGTGTGCCCATTCATGTTCTCTCTACTCGATGACAAATATAACACTCTATACGCTGAAACATCAACTTCTGTATCAGGGCGAGGGTGTGAGGGTGGAAGCGAATTCGGCGACAGCATTATCTTTTTATCTTATAAGTCTCACTATAGTGGTGGGCTATACAACAGCCAAGCCCAATCAAGGTGGAAACCCTGGCGTCATCTATGACCCTGAACCTCAATGACGGATGAATAGCTGGAAGAGTTTTTTCCGATATTCAACTATCCTTTCATGGGAGGAGATTCTTTCCGAATAGTCACTTAACTGTTAATGTATATAGTTCACATTTGGGTATAACTGAAAGGCAAGGTTAGATGAGTTGAAGGAAAAATTTTCTGGATGATCTGAAATTCCTTCGAATACACCATAATGGTATCTTGATGATTATTCTGTCCGCCATTTTCTGAACTCGAAATTGTCGATAAGCTGACAGTATGAATTACAAATGTGATTACTGAAATATTCATTAGCAGACATTAACAAGTTTGAGAGTAACAGAGAACTTGCTTATAAACAATGCACTGCAGTTCTTCACTTTCTTTAGTATATTACCCCTTGTAAAAAAATACATCGTCTGAACAAAACGTTTATCTGTTTAATGTTAAACTTCGTCATTTCAGAACATGCTAACGGGGCTTCGTAGAATTTTTCTTTTTCTAGGATACGATAATGAAGTATTCCTGAAAAATACTATTCCAAAGACAACTCTCTGCGACGATATATTTGACAATATTCATGATGATGACCCATTTCAACGATCAAATTCTATGTACACAAATATATTCAGTTAATTGAACACGATCATTATGATTGTTAATTCTAGTACTATCTGATTAGTATAATCAGGGTATCATTTCTCAGAGCAATTTTTCAAATTGTCTTTCAAGGATTAAGATCTTTGGTAAACAATCACATGTTTTCTCCACATTTCCATCTGATTTTTGTCGAATACTTTTTGTATTTCTTTGTTGAAG